AAAGAGAGAGAAAGCTGTGGCTGGAAAAATAGTAGGTTGGGTATTTAGTGGAAGGATAAGTAGGCGTATCGTAGACCACAGGACTGAATTAGGGGAAGGGAAAGTTACGATTTGACGAATAAATAGGCGTTTTCCCCTTTAATACTCCGTCATAAATTATGTACGAGCTTTGTTCTGATCACATTGGGCCGCCCTACCATTCAGGGGATAGCGTTTTAGAGATGTAGGGAAAATGTATGATAAATTCTATACTTATTCTTTGTTATCGCAAAAACAAATCCTTTGAAGTACAAATCACATAAACATGAAAATAGTTAAGATATTACATAGTCAAGTCTTTTGAAATTTTGGGTCTATCTACAATATTTAACAATAATCAGTTTAAACGAAAAAAAGATAACAAAAAAGAAAGTTTAAAAGGAAGAAAGAAAGAAAGAAAAAAGACACAAAAAGATATAATTTGTAACCCACTACAGGTAGATGATATCATAATATACATGGCCATGTGACGATGACGAAGCTTGTCCGTTCCCTTTTCACATCCATATCCTTAGGCCATTTCCCAGGTAAATATCAGAATGGATGCCTTGAAACGAGACCTGGACAACGAACGGAACCGAACTGAAGCCATGGAACAGCATCTTAAAGGAACATGCAAGACGTCGGGTAAGTGTCATCTTTGGCTCTTGGTATCTTTACAATATTTGCACTATTTCTGTCGTCTTGGGAACTTCGCCTTGGATTTTTTCTTTTGATTTCTACAGGTTTAAGATTCGTTAATTTTCCGACACAATTCGCTTTGTGTGTTGCAGTTGTTCCTCCTGGCTGCAAACGTAAAGTTGTCCAGTGGGTTGTCCCCACTGGACAACCAAGAGCTGCCGAAACTCGTGGACAACCTGGACCCACTGGACAACCCGGGCCTGCTGCCCCTGGGCAACCCGGACCTACTGCCCGAAGACAACCCGGACCTACTGCCTCTGGACAACCCGGACCCACTGGACAACCCGGGCCTGCTGGACAACCCGGACCTCCCGGACAACCCGGACCACCTGGAAAACCCGGACCACCTGGACAACCCGGAACTGCTGCCCCTGGACAACCTGGACCCAGTGGACGAACCGGGCCTCCTGGACAACCCGGATCCCCCGGACCTAGTGGACAACCCGGAACCCCTGGACAACCCGGGCCTCCTGGACAACCTGGACAACCCGGACCTAGTGGACGAACCGGACCTAGTGGACGAACCGGACCACCTGGAAAATCCGGACCTAGTGGACGAACCGGACCACCTGGAAAATCCGGACCTAGTGGACGAACTGGACCACCTGGAAAATCCGGACCTCCTGGACAACGCGGACAACCTGGACAACGCGGACCCAGTGGACGAACCGGACCCCCTGGACAACGCGGAGCCCCTGGGCATCGCGGACCACCTGGACAACCCGTGTGTGCCAGAGGCTCTCGAAAACCAGGCCGCCAGATTACAGGTGAGACTCCAACAAATGCTTTAGCCACCAAAGGAGGTGAATACTTTCATACCGCCTGTAAATATATGTGCGATTACAATCAAAGTAGGCCCTGATCCCTTTCTGTTTCAGCTACTCGGAACGGAGGATGCCAAGGCGGATACAAACTCCTTGCTGGGACCTGCTTCAAGCTTAATGCCAACAGACTGTCCTACGACGCCGCCAAGATGGCCTGTAAGAGGGAAGGAGCGAGACTAGCCATGCCGAAAACAAAAGAGCTGGACCAGGCTTTGAGAAACCTGGCCCGCACAGAAGGAAAACACCTGTATCATTGGATCGGCATGAGGGATATCGGACGCACTTACCGTAATTTGCATAAAAGCCACTGGCAGTGGGAGGATGGGTCTACTCTGGGCAACCACAAGGTACCTTGTGACCTTACTTACTGTTGGGCACATAAAAGATCACTACAAACTAGAAACCTATGTTTGTTTTTATGTAATTTAATTAGCAACTATTTCTCTCCCTCACATGTAGGTGTTGTTCACCAAAGTACATCTTACATATTAATTCAATATATGTTGTATATCATTTCAGAACAACCTTAATATATGATGTTTATTTCTTAAACCAGGGATGGAGTCCAGGAGAGCCAAAGCGCTCGAAAAAAACCCGTTGCGTGCAGTACTGGTCAGGCCCCCACTGGTTCTCCTATGTGGGTCAATACTAAATGCAGTTTAAAGCTTCGGTCTATCTGTCAAACCCCTCTTCCATAAATGGGGAAGAGAGCAACAAACCATGCTGGCATCAGCCAAGCATACTCTTGCCAGTAGAGCTTGCCAAATTCAAGCGCTCAGATTCAGCAAGTAAATGTAAAGAAATTTTGTAATTTCTAAAAGGTCTTCATTATCAAATCTCACAACTTTAGGTCTCCAGCTATTTTGATTTTTGTACAATTGTACGCTTTGGGACAATGAAAGATGCAGTTCAAGCCGCAGGTCTATCTGCCAAGCCCCTCATCCATAAAATTGGGAAAGAGCAACAAAACATGCTGGCGTCAGCTGAGCAATTCTCTTAGTAGTAAAGCTGGCCAAATGTTAATTTAAATCTTAACCAAATTATGACTTCGACATATTGTCATTTTGTCAGTTGAAGTAAAATTCCTGGAATAAAGGGATTTTCTGTTTACACAACCAAAACAGACAGCTTCCTTAGAGCTTCTGACTGGAGTTCTGCTTCTCGCCGCTATATGTAGCCGATGTAGGTGGCGCTTTTGCGGTGAGAAAATAAAAACCAAAACGTAGGTAAGTTGAGAGAAAACTAGAAGTATTGGTTGTGCAAAAGGAACATCCCTATGTCCTATGTTCTACCAACCTGATTTTCATAAGTATTTTCTATTTTCATAAGTAAGATTCCTATTATTGGGTTAAACGTTAAACACAATATTCACTAAACAACATGAGCAAGATGAGATAATACAACATGTATTACAGAATCTGGTGAATTTTAGGTCTTATCTGACACGTAGATTTGTGGCTATATCTTTTTGCTTTTCTGTGTCATTAACCTTAATTGGATGGATTGATGTTACTTATAGGTTGAATGGAAACCATTTTTAAAACGTCAGATGCACGTACACACT